GAAGAGCAACCCAAATTCGTCAATTACAACTGAAGCATGTATATATAACAGCGCTATAGAGAGTAGGAATATTCTCGAAAGATAAGGGTTACAAGAAAGGAGAGAAATCATGACATCACTGAACAGTAACAGACAATAGAGAACAGTTAAAGAGTCTATATGAGAGAAAGGAAAAAAAAGAAAAGACAAGTTTGAGATGATAGATGACGTCACCTATAACCTATATGTCCTTGTAGATCTAACAGTTTAATATAAACAAAACACTTTTCTCTACTGAAAAATAGGTGGGACAAATGTGTCTCACCGTCCTCAAAGGATTAAGACATGGATTTGCACAAGGTGGAAAAATTACCATGTTCACTTGCAAATGTTCATTATTGCTCTCAAATGTACAATGAATATTTATGTCGATGTTTTCATATTCAATAATAATAACCCCGAGTCCTTGTACTGCATTTTTCCAATCAATTAATTCATTCACCTGAAAGGAAACTATTAATAAAATATTCATTGTACATTTGAGAGCAATAATGAACATTTGCAAGTGAANATAGCAAATGAAAAGCTTTTGGAAAAAAACAGTAGAAGTATGAGTTCGACTTGCCAATTCTGTGTTTACGGTAAAATACATGAGAATAAAAAACAAAAAGCTTACGACACTCGGTATTCCCAGGCGGTCACCCATCCAAGTACTAACCGAGCCCGACGTTGCTTAACTTCAGTGATCGGACGAGAACTGGTGTATTCAACGTGGTATGGCCGTAAGCGAATATAGTCATTTTGAATATCCTTGATAACTTTTATTTTCTAAACAAAATATTTATTTAAGGTACGATGCATCGACATATATGGAATTCAGACATCATCATGTTAGCGAATTTCCTCACAATCTTAAGCAATTATCTGAAGGAAAAAATATGTGGGTTGAAATAAATAGTAGTCATGTGGGCCTTATTCGTGCGGTACTTGAGTATTTCGATGCATATACATTTGTTATTGATGATATTCGTACACTTGAACCACGAATGAAAATGTCTGTTATAAATGAAGATATTTATCTTTTACTTAGTCTTATCTATTTAAATGAAACAAATCATGTTGTTGAACAACAAAAAATTAGTTTTTATCTAACAGAAAATACACTTATCACTATACAAGAATATCGTACACACACATTGTTTTCAACAATTAAACGTCGTTTAAGTAAAAAATCAATACAATCAAAAGGTCGTCTTAAAACAATGAAAACAGATTATTTATTTTATTGTTTACTAAATGTTGTAATGGAAAATTATATGATTGTATTAGATTCAATTTTATATGAGACTGAACGTATTGATAAAGAATTGATGTTTTCAACAAAGATAAAAGCAGATACACTTAGTGTTGAAACATTAAGATTATTGTTTCATATAAAACATGACTTACTTCATTTCAAAATTGTATGTGCCCCATTAAAAGATGTATTTATTAAACTACAAAAAACTCGAGAGACAGTAGTACCAAAACGACAACGACCAGCATTACGTCAATGTCGTCGTCGATTAAAACGACGATTACGACAAGCTCTTGCTCAACATTCTTCACATACTCCTCCGTTAAGAATTTCAATCGGTGATGAAGATGATGAATACTTGCTAGATGACGGTGTATTAGTACTCAATGATTATATTTATAAATACTTTAATCGTCTTCTTGATCATGCCGTTGAACTGAATGATACCATTGATTCTCATTCAGATAATATTACATCATTGATTGATTTTTACATGATTCTTAATGGGGATTTAATTAATGAAACGATGCAAACATTGACATTAATGTCATGTATTTTTATGCCTTTAAATTTTTTTTCGAGTCTAAGTTCGATGAACTTTGAACATATGCCACAAATTCCTATGCATTATGGATATTATGGACAACTTGGGATTATGGGACTAATTGGATTGATAATGATCGTTTGTTTCAAATTGAAAAAACTGTTTTAATTTTTGAATTAATACATTATTTTTGTTGAACAAAAATAAAAATTTGCTAACAATGAATAAATTGCTTTAACAAAACTAATAAATAATAGCCGTCTTGAGTTCTGCGCGAGCTTAAGTTTTCGAACGCACATTCGACCCAATTCGATGTAGTTGAACGTGAATTTGAAAATCTTATTCGGTTATTAATGTTAGCTTAGCTATTTTCTTCGGATGTAGTTATTGGATGCATACTTGAAATTCTTATTTTCGTTTTTAATTCAAACATGAAAGACTAATTACAAAACCAGTAAGTTTTTCAAATCCAACCAACAAACAATCTTATTCGATAAAGTTCACCTCGGCCCATTCGGGCGTCTGCTCGAATGAGGTTGCAAGACTCTACGCCTACCTAAACTATTCTGAAGTATATCTACTAGAAAAATTTCAAATATTGCTAAATTCACGACATATTACTTCATACGATTTGCGACATCTTACTGCATTTTACAATATTTACTTTTTTTGACTATTATCCCATAATATATAGCTCATTCAAGTTAACGTTGATGAGCACTGATAAGCAACGAAGTGACATTGGTCTAAGCGTATGAGACAACACTGAGTTCTATAATTGATTTCATTTAGTTTAAAATCATTCTTCAGAAAATCTTTTGAAACTGCATAACATACATCATGTATGTATATTCAACAAAAAAATGCTTACGACACTCGGTATTCCCAGGCGGTCACCCATCCAAGTACTAACCGAGCCCGACGTTGCTTAACTTCAGTGATCGGACGAGAACTGGTGTATTCAACGTGGTATGGCCGTAAGCGACTATGAGTAGATTGAATATCACTTATAAGATGTACTTTCGAACAAAATGTCGACTTGTGATTATTTTTTTTGCAGAGGTATGAGTAATTGTTGCTGCTGAAGACTTATTATTTAGAAATAACTGTGTTCACGAGTCTAGAGTTTCTTAAAATGAAGTTTATTAAAGAGAATAGATGAATAACTAAAGTACAAGAGAACTAGTTCACGCCGAGTCAGATAATCATGTATACATAGAAAGAAAAGAAAAATTGAGGGATGAATGGAATGAGAATAGAAAAAAAAAACTTAAATGCGTTCATGATTAGAACATGCTGGAATAAGTAGACGTTCGCTTTAATCAATACTTTGAATGAAAAGAAAAGGATAACACTTAGTACAATAGTAGTAATAATAAGGATAGAGAAAGTTAGTATCGCATGAAAATCCTTCATCCTTGATATTAAATTCAAAAAAAAGAGGCAGACAAAAAAAAAGAACAAAGTTTTTTTCGCAGGAGAAAAAAGTTAATGAGTAAGTTCATGAAGAAATACAAATCTTTGTCTTTTTAAATCAAATGACGATATTCTTATTTTTTTTTGACCAAACTTGACGTTCACATAATTCGACAGCCTTAAAAGAAAAAAACAATAAATATTCTGCTCAAAATAAATTGCTTTATATACGTTGCATAATTCAGCATTTTGACGACTTGTACACCAATAGTTCATACCAAATATACATTTTCCATAATTTGTCGATGATACCACCAGGGTAGGAGGAGTGGATTGACGACGAGTTGATGGTGATGATATTTCAGCATTCTTTTCACATGCTCCAATACTTTGACAAGCAACTTTTGGGTCAACATCACTGGAGATCATTTGAATAATATATGGTCCATATTGATCAAGAAAATCTCTGCATTGTTGTTTAAGATTAATAACAGAAAATAAATCGCATGACTCTTTTAATGATGCAAGTATTTCTTCTTCAGTTTGATTGAGAGCAACGAAATGTTTCATACGACTAATAATAAATTGACAAATAGTGCATGTAAATGGCTTTTCTTCTAATGATAAACGAACATAATCATGATTTGAATAGGTAACCGGTAACGGTTTTTTTGTTGTTGTTTCTATTGGTAATGAAACTTGACACATACCAAGATAACGACAAATTGTATCTGGATCAGCCATTTCAGCAATCAATTCAGCAAGAACTGGTCCATAAGTTTTAACAAATTCATCACATTGAGCACGTTCTTTACCTGACGAAAAGAAAAAAACAGATAACTTATACAGAGTATTTGATTTAGTTATTTAAACTCACTTGGTAAAATAGTACAAACTTTTTTTAATGCAGCTTCAACTGCTGCTTCAGATTTATTATTCTTTAAAATAGCATCCAAATATGAAACAACATAATGACATAATGTGCATTCTGGAGTAACATCTAAATTTTTAACTATCGTACGTTTGAATTCGTCATCTTCTTTAGTTGATTCATCTTTTGCCAATGGTACATGAACTATTGATGGTTTGTCTGTATTCATATCACCTGTTGATGTTTGACAAATAGTTAATTGTTGACAAAAATTATTATTAAGATCAAGGTCTAATTTTCTCATATGTGGTGCAAATAATTGAACTATTGTTTGACATTGTGAATATTGTTCATTTGATAAATGTATACAAACAGTTGATAATGCATGTTGAAGTGATTTTTCACTTGAATNACAGTGGATTTTGAAACTTAGCAGACTTCAGTACATTCAAACGAATTTTCTTAGATTCACTGCCGTAGTTGTTGAATGAAGAAAGAAATAGAATTTATATGAATAGTCTTTATGTTAGACAAATTGTCCCATGAGGAAATTTTTCTGTTTTCTTCCTTTTGGAACTTGAATATACACTTATCAGAATAAGACTTATAATAGTCATAAACGAACATGTAAACACGTAAACATTATAAACTACCATGTGGCAGACGTGTTGTGCTTGTTCTTAAGTTTACTTGAAGGTAAGATGTGTAAAGCTTTCAATGCTATCTTATCTAATAATGCATATAAATGCTGAATAAAGTCCAATAAAAAAGTTTAAAGTTCTATTAACACCTAGATTACATTCATTATTCAGTGTCATTTAAGCTCGACATGATATTGACGGTAACACATAATCTACGATGCAGCTGTAATTGCCGAAATCTCGATTTATGGTTCGCCGCTCAGGAACGTTATAGAAAGTTTATTTTTTCTTTTTGAAAGAGCACAGTCTGAAATTTAAATACCACACGAAAATATTTTCCGTGATTAAATTTGAGATTTCGGAATTTCACCCATTTGATTGTGAATTAAATATGGATAAAAAAATCCAATCGACTGGATTGATGAGTATATTCTATGAAATAGCTATGTTGTATCGAACTTACACTGATCGACGAAGTTATAACTTCGTCATATAGAATTGACGCATTTACAACTTCGTCACATAATTATGTCGAAGTTACTTTATTTCAACTACATAAAAACTATAGTTATGAATTACTTGATGGCATGATAAACATTTTATATATTTACAGTTAATTTTTCAGTTTAAAATATATCTTATTTTTCGAATACATAGAAGAAATTATTTAAGAAGATTCAATTTAATTTGTTAACACTTTATATGATTCTCAATTTATGCTAACGATACTCATGTCTGTAACTAAAGAAAGAGATTCGTAGAATGCTATACTCTGAGTTGAACAACACTTTAATTTTATATCAATAAGAAAAATGCCACATAAATATCAGTTCAATGCTCACCAGAGTCAAACTTACACTGACTCAAACAAAAACTTCACCTAACTGGATTTCTCAATACTACGTCTCAGTATTACGGATGTATCAATCTAATAAAAATTTTACCAGTGAAGCAAATCTCAAAGAAGAACATGCTAGACAAATCTCACACTAGTAATTGATAAAGCAGTAGAAGGAACTTACAAACTTAGAACGCGATCGGCGATATTTTATAAGGATTTTGTTTTCTAGATTTATTATATTTATTTAAACAGCCGGATCTACTTTTGGCAGTATATAGCATATCTTGACTGTGCTAAAATAAAACCATATTCCCGAGGAAGGGTTTTGTTCTCACAGCTAGGTTTTTGTCATTATCTTGCTTTTGCTTTTAATTTCAGTGACTGGCTTCATTTAACTTTATTTTTAGTCTTGCATTTAATGAAAAATGAAAAACTAGGTTTACGACAAAAAATATACAACATCCTTGAATGAAATATATTAAGAGAGCTCTTCTCATTATTTGGTTATGTGTTGTTTAAATCAGTGTATTATTTTACAGGCCTCTTTCTTTAGTTACCGGCATGAGTATCGTCAGCATACATTGAAAATCATATAAAGTTTTAACAAGTAAAATTGAATCTTTTAAATAATTTCTTCTATATATTCGAAAAATAATCGATATGAAACATCTCAAAAAGAGCTCTTCCAACATATCCTTTTTCATATATTTTTCTGGAGTCTGAAGAGAAAGTTTTTCTTGAGAACCAAATAGATGAGATAGTAGTTCATATAAAATTTTATCGAATTTCATACTGTGGAAAGTTTTTCAGAATTTCTTTAGCAGTAAATAAATTGTGTTAAACGTCTTTGTTTTGATAGGAAGCACTAATTTGCATGGAACATATAAGACATTGAGAAAAATTCGCTATTCATGACTTAAACATGTTAGTGAACGTTAAAATCAATTTGAATTTGAGGAAAATTGCATTCTATTTCAGAAAATATGTTTTAGAAAGGAGAGAAACTAGTTCAGTATCTAGAAATTATCGCTTAAGTCGAATGACTCTTTTTTTTTTGAAGCCAATGAAAAACTTGTAAAGTGCTTCGATGGTAAAATAGACCAAGACATACTCTATCGTAATTCATTTGGCAAAGTGGTTAAAACATTTCTAGTTTCTATAGTTTTATAATTTCAAACGTAATCTGCTATAGGGAAACACGTAGACTTGATGCAAGAGATATACCGCTGGAGAAGACAGAAGTTGTAAAAGCTTTTCTCTCATTAAAAGTTAATCTGAAAGATTTTTTCCTTTATGTTCTGAAGCTTAAACTTTGCTCGTTCAATATGAAAAGACTCAACTCTCTACGATGTTTCTAAGCGGAAAACCATGAGTTGAGATTTCAGCAATTACTTTTGCATCGTAGGTTATTATCAGACTATTACATGAGTTATAAAATTTTGATTTCTTTTTGTAAGATCTTATTACAAATGAAAAATCGAAGAAAAAAAGTAATAAAAATAATCTGAAAGAAAATGATAGTATTATACATGAAATAAAACAAAGTATTATTGCTTTCTTTTTTCTTAGTTCATACAGTAGAGTACAAGAAAAAATGTTGCTGTTTGATTTTTAAAATCTCTTCTACTGAATGTGATGAATATTTAAAATTTTTTAATTGATAGACGACATATGCAGTATAGTCCATAACTATTAATAAATGATTCGTTCTGTCTCGGCTCTATTCAATAAGAACGATAAACTTGGCTTGCTTGCTAACCGTCAACAAGCTTAGCCTTTAAATGCCAATTTTATAACATTGTTTGTTCAAAAATCTCTTCAATTAATCGAAATTTGAGAGTGTTGTTTCTCTATGGACAAATTGTTCGATTACCAGTCACAATTTTTAAACTAACCTGAAGTACGTGTCACTAAATGGTCAAGTAATCATTGAGTGCAGATGTGGCTCACAAATTGCTTTGCTAGCTCTGATTCACAACAGTACTTCGTTCTTAAACCGTGGAAATTGTATATCAGCTGGTATGAACTGAAGACTACATTCACACGGGCAGTTTCGGATAGCAATACGATGATCATTATTTCAGTAGTGTATGGTAACAAATAGGTCCGTTGACAGACGGTTAGTATTTGAATAATGCGTCATCTTTATGAAACTCAACAACACTTTCGGAGACGATGCGCCGATCTTGCTAGATGCACAGAACTACCTTCTATTAGTCGAAAATAGTTCTAAGGCGATCGTTTAAAAAACATAAGAATCAGACCTCGACGAAATTTGTACGTCGAACAGCAAGCTTTTGGTATCCTATGCCATATGAATTACTTAAAAACCTGCAAGCATCTTTCTCTTTAGAAATATTTTATACAAAAATGCCTAGTCTTTATTTCAATGAAGAAAATTTATTTATTTATTCATTTATTTAATTTTACCACTGCGCATGAGAAAATTGAAATTTTCAAATTGCACATCTGTTTTCATCAAGATTTGAAATGAGAAAAAATAAAAATTAATGTATTTCTGTATCATTAATAGACAAAAAAATGTTATGGAAAAACGAAGTTCTATATAAACCAAATAAAATTAATTTTGATGAATTTTAAAAAAACAACTTATTGATGAAAAAATGGCTGCATATGATAATCGAAATGTTGAAGTTTTACTAACACCTAAAAAGCGATTTTGACGTGTACAAATTGTTCCATTACAACAACCGATTGTATTTGTTGGTGTACAAACATAACCAAATTGACTAATACATGTATTTGTGCAATGTTCAGCATTAATACAAGTTGATGTTGTATAATAAGTACCTGAACCACATTGACATCGACATGTTGGAATATAACGTAAACAATCACTACCACAACAACCTTGAATATTTACAATATTACATTGTGGAACTGATTGTAAACATGCTTGTGCACATTGTTGTGATGAACCACATGAAATTCTTAATGGTATATATTGATTTGTACCACATAGACAAGAACATGATTGAAATGAATTAAGACAATCAACACCACAACATACTTGAGTATTATCTTGTGTGCACGCACTAAATGAACTAATACACGTTTCTAAACAAGTTCGACTATTTTGACAAGGAATTGAAGTTCTTGTTGTAAAATTTTGACCACAATTACATGTACATGTTGGGACATATGAAGAGCACGATGCTCCACAACAACCTTGAGTTTGACCAACTGTACAGGGACCATAAGTCTGAATAGAAGATTAAAAATAGCAAGAAATAAAAGAACTTGTTTATATTTAAATAGAAACATATTTCATAATGTTTTATTACCGTCATACATGTATTAATACATCCTTCAGGACTAGAACATCTAGGCGATGGATAATAAGTATTTCCTTGACATTGGCAAGAACATGTATCAGAAACAGCTTGTGGAGTGGATTGACAATCTTGTCCACAGCAGGCTAATGTCCTTATTGTCGTGCATACTTGAGGATATTTAAGACGACATTGTGCTGAACATGCTTGTGATGATATACATGTATCAGTTGGATTGAAAAAATGTTGACCAGCACAGCTACATATACAAGACCGAGTTCGAGATGATTGAACTTGAAAATATTGACAAGATGAACCACAACAACCATACGTATTTATAAATGTACATCGTTCAGGATACATTTGTAAACAATATGCTACACATGTTTGTGGATTAACACATGCTACGGATGGTCGATAGGACATATCACTACAAGTACATATACACGAACTTGGTTGACCATTGTTGATATTATTTTGAAAAAGTTGTATATTGGGCATATTGCCACTTATGTAATCAGGATTGAAGGCATAGTACGGATCAACAAAGTTATTACCGAGTGATTGACGTTGTTGTAGTCGTTGTTTTGAATTGACATCATTCGTTCGTGATGCTTGTTTTCCTTCTATAAGACACACAACACTTTTTTACTCGATATTAATCTGTTAATCTGTTTTTTTCTTCTATCATTTGATGTACGATATCAAAAACCAAAAGCTCATAAAATGACATATACAAATAGTAGATGCTAATCGAAACTTTACCTATCAAGTAAATGATAACAAGTGGCAAGATTATAATGGTAGTGCATGATTTCATTGTTGTTCATCGATCGAATCGATTTCCAATCTTAGGATGTTGTATTAAGTATGATAACAGCTTGTGAAGCGTCTCGTATTCTCTCTCTCTTTCTTTTACTAACTCTTTTTCGTTCTTTATTCCTTTCTTTCTCTGTTTTTTTACAACTTGTGCAAACTAGTCGAATATAAAAATCCAACAGACACAATCATCATTTTCATCATTTCAATCTAATGTTTTATTGGCTACTGCATTCATATGCACACAGACAGATCAATGTAGTAATCGTAGAAAAGAGAGCGAGAGGGAAAGCAATCAAGTAAGGGGAAGTCGTTTTAGGCGCACAGTTTTAATAGAAAATATGTGACACTAATGTTCAAACGAACGCAAGAGTAAACAGGGTAGACATCATAAGGTAAAATTAACATTGAACGTCTTGTTACTACTTCATATGTATTGTGTACATAGATGAGCGACGAATGTGCAAACGTTACGTAGAACACGAGAATAGGTCGTGATGTGATACGTAAAATACTTCAGAACAGTCTACTATTTAGTAGTGACCGAAGAAAGAGAAAAAGACGGATGAAACAAATCAATATGCTACCGCGCAAACATCAAGTAAGACAATTGTCTATATGAAATTGAGTGATAAAACGATGCACATGCATTTTTCATATTGAAATACATTATCCATAAGTTCAATAAACGAACAAAATATGACTACAAATACAGAATAATATAATCTTAAATTTCTCAAGACTACAGATTATAAGATTTAATATAAGAAGAAAAATGTTTGAATTTTGTATGAGCTTTGACTAAATTAAGATGTATTTATTTAATTCTCTTAAATTTGGATAGATATTAAATGATCTAGATCGATCTCTGTATACCTTCTTAATCAAAGGAAGAAAAATCCTATAAACTCAGTATTTAGAAAAATCGTTGTCTCAATCATTAACAATTTTTTGTCAGTTGATTCCAGAGGTGGCATGTTAGCATTAGTATTTAAAAAATGCTAATGCTTTAGGCATTAGTATTAATTAATGCTTAGGTGTTAGCATTAAATTAGCATTAGTTTTAACTTTAATGCATAGCTTCCCAAAACAGAGCAAAATTGTTCTATTTTCGGAAAATATGACTCATCGATGAGTCATATTCCAAACAAAAAGAACAACTTTGTTGTTTTGAGAAAATATGCATTAGAGTTAAAACTAATGCTAATTTAATACTAACACCTAAGCATTAATTAATTCTAATGCCAGTAAAGCTAAAGCATTAGGGTTAATTTTAATACTAATGCCTCAAGCATTAGCATTAGTATTGATAAATGCCAATGCTAATTCTAATGCACCACCCCTAGTTGATTCTTAAGAAATTCCGTAAAACATACTTAACAGTAATTTGAGAACATTAGTACAGCCACCTGACCATTGAGTCATTGTGAAACTCAAATAAACCTATTTTCTTACTTAAGAAATGAGACCAAAATGAGTTTTTCTTCTAAGTAATATACATATATATACATACATGGTAACATCAGCTTTCATTGTGCGTCATGTGTTTCTGAAAATTCCAATATAAAACATGCTCTAACAAGGTTTGCTTCTGATTTATACAGTTATGTAATTCATATTCCTAATAATTTTATTTGAATATTATATATGCATGAATGGATTGATTTCAGATGAGAATAATTATACAGAACGAAATGTTTCTTTAAGACATCTTTACAAGGTTATCAGGTATCAAGTTTTAGCATAGATTCAACTAGTATTTTCTCAAACGAAATGATTTTGAGTTTTCTTCAATTGGAGCAACTTACAGATCTAATTAATATCTTTAACATTGTAAATGAAGTAATTATACAATTGTTTATCTTTTCACACCATGATAACCTGGAAGAATAAACTGATCTATACTTTTTTGAAATTTATACGACATAAATAAAAGAATAAAATTGAATGAAAAATTTATCTATAATTTGTACTTCATTTGAAATTTTTACTCTATATTTGCCGTTGCAAAGCACTTTTATCATTATTGTACTATGCTTCTGTATTCATAATCATGTACGAAGAATACCTGTTTACCAAAAAAAAATGAGTTTTTCCCGATAAATATAAACAGACACCAAGAAATTAAAATCAACATCTTATTTAGAGATATGTGTCTATGATGATGATAGTTCCGATCATAGTTGATGTGACAATATAGTATAGGCATATTGAAAAAGGATGGATCATATGAAAGGATAGTAAAGTACATTCGTATCAGCAAAAATCCTAATATTTTACTTTTATTGTGTCGTTAATCGTTGGTGGTGCTGGTGTCAATCAGTTCTTTCTAGCACGCTTTAATATTATCTGTATAGTAGCAGATATGTATATTCAAGCCTCTTATATCAAGTGGTTGTTGTTGCAGTATATATCATTTGCTCGACAGCGACAGCAAGCAATCATAGACTTTAGTTGGTTGAGTAAATTTACGAGATCTATTTCAAGCATTTGATGATTCATAGATTGGATTCGTATTTTATACAATGCGTTTTCTAACGGCAATTGTGATTTATTAGAATAATTCACAGAAAATATTTCATATGCTTAGAAAATGTATTTAATTCATAGAAAATCTCTATACACTCAAATGTTATATAAATCACTTTTAAACTGAAACCAGAAAGACTATATAATCCATGTACATTAAAAAACGAGCATACGATCGAACTGTGAACACACAATTGAGTGACATATTTTTATCTTGTTTTTCTTTTCAGAACATTAATCATTCATTGGTAGAAATCCGCACAGAAATAGTTTCAACATATGACACTTGTTCTCATCGAAATGAATAGTGTTTTTTTCTTTGATTCCTTATATAAAATCTATATCTTATTCTCGTGTCTGTACTTGGCATACGTTGATACATTTTCATGCGTCATAAACAATAGAAATGATGTTATTTAAAGAAAATTAATGTCTGTAAAAAGAATGTTAAGTGATGATCGATGCTTTTCATCAACAGATAAAAAGGATAAACCTTTGATATATCAAGTTATGGTAAATAATGTCAAACTCTTTCGATAAATATTTCAAGAAGTTACGATTAAATTTTTATGGATGTTTTAGACTCTATCTTCTTTCGATTATGCTCTAAACAGCATCTACTCAACAATGTCTTACTAATTAGGATATCAAAATATGATCTTCATAAGTAATAAATGCTCAAAACAACTGATATTTATCTTCTGCAAACTAAAATTATATATACATATATATTGTCGAGTGTCTGTCTGTTATCAGGTGGAGAGACAAAAGTCAAACCATAAGAGTTAATGATTAAGTGTTATAGAAGAAACACAACTGTGTCACGTTCGTGGCAAAGGGCTAATTAAGCTATAATAAATTCAATATCTAAGATTCACATCAAATAAGTCAACTGATTAGAAAGAACACTTTTTGTTATGACTCTTGAATATATCTATCATTGAATGATAAAAAAAAACACACATGTTCTACCACAATGAATATTCTTATCATATTAAAATCATCGAAAAATTTATCTTTCTTAAGAAGAAAATATTTATTGTATAAGAATTTACAGATGAAACAAATATATATTATATGAGTCTTATTAATTTTTATTGATATTTTCATTCATCATTAATAATATATGTTAGATTATATTGTTTTGACCAAGTTAATAAAAATGTTTGATTCTGACTACTATTAGTCCATAATTGAGGAGTATAAACTTGTAATCTTGGAAGCAAAAAATCAAGTTTATCATCAAGATAAAAACGTATTTTGTCAATAAATTCTATCAATTGGCTGACAATTGTTTTCATTATTTTATATTCAATTGGTGAATTCATCCATATAGATAGTAATTGACGTAATCGATGATTAAACAAATAATTAATTGTACGAATATCATTGGATGAAAAATATGTTATTGAATCAGATAAAAAAGGAAACATTTTTAGTAAGAACTCTGCTTCATACGAATATTGAATACATTTTGGAAGAAAAAACCTTTTTGTTTCTAAATATAAATTATTTATAAATTTATATGTATTCAAAATAATTTCATTGCTTATATAAGATATAAAAGCATTCATTGAACGCGGATAATGAGTTAAATGATTGAATATAGTTAATGTTTTATTTACATAATAAACAATTTCAAATATAAATGAATCAATTGTTAATGTTGCTAATTGAGATATATCAAGGTGTAATAAATTTTTATGATTTATTAAACAAGTAAGACTAAAATAATCGATAAAAGAAAGCTTCTTTTTTTTGATAAAGAACTCTGTCGAATAAGATCACCATCCTTCATTTGAAAACCATCTATGCCCTGTTTTGTAAAGAAACTCGAGCCACATGAAATTTTATATAGAAAATTCCTTTTTCATCAAACTTTTATATTCTGATAAACCATATACCAGTTAAGCGATATAATAGTAATTGTGGGTGATATGATCATATATTAAGACTTAGTATATCTTGATGTGCGTCATGGTCAAACCTACCAATCAATGCCTGAAAGAAAAACAATTTTTCTAGTCATAACGATATAAAAGTATATGAACATTGCGATAAGTACTTTTTGAGTGAAGAAGCTCCTTTCTATTAATAATAAGCTCATAATGCCCTATTATTATATATATTTTAATTCTTATAAGAAATTGAACATATATTGAATTTAATAGAGCATCATACTCTAATTACACCCGGCTATGAAGAATGTTAATTCGTAAGGAAGAAAATAAAATAAAAGCTAATCTTTGTAATAGTCTATTCCCATGACCTCCTTCAAAGATCTGAAACCAAATTTTTTTTTGCCATTTTCGAAAGATTTATTTATGCCAAATTATAGGGCATGATGAACTTGTTATGAATAGAAAATTTGACTGCCTTTAGGTACTGAATTGGCCGATTCGACCATGATGCATATCTATTCAGAGGACAATCAAGTGGTACACGTATAATACTCGGTGTCATACGATTTCTGAGGAAGTTGCACGGTTGATCACATTTACCCCGAAGAGTAATACCGAAGAATTTAAAACATCATAAAAGCCAACAACCACTAAAGCTAGTGAAAATGCTAAGATTTTGAATATGAAAAAAAAACTATTGTAAGTATTATTAGATATACACGATTGATGACAAAACAAAACTTAATATAGTTTGGTTTGAAGATATACTGAGTCCAAAATATTTGATCATATCACCTACAATTGTCATAATATCCTTTAATTTGTATATGGCTTCTCAAAACATAACTTGATGAAAAAAGAATTTCCTGTATACCATATATGATGCGGTCCGAGTTACTTTACAAAATGGTATAAGTGGCATTTCAAATGAAGGATGGCCATCTTATCCGACAATTCTTTACAATGATAAGCATACTTATTCATATATTCTTGCAAAAGATTTTCAGTATGAAAACCTATTTGAAATAAAGTTTCAATCAGAACCATTGTTGTATAATTAATTTGTTGTAATTGTAATTTTAAATCTTCATCTAAATCCATATAATTCATTAACTGTATACCAAATTGTTCATGTTCATCTATAAAATCAGTTTTCAAATACTTGAAAAACGTTTGAAAATCTTTTGAAAACTGATATGTTAAGTTATTAGCAAATAAAAATTGTTGAAAACGTTGAAGCCAAGTTTTTTGTTCAGCTGATTGCCAAATTGGAATTGATTTCTAAAAAGAATAAGAAAAAAAAATTTTTGTTCTTTGTAATAATAATTTATTATTATTAAACTCACTCGTTTGAAGTCTGTTTTACTAAAAATTGTTATAAGTGCAGTTGTTGAATTACGTTCAATCCATCGTGAATAAATCGATGCAAGAATTTGTTCAGGAGACTTTTTTTGTAATATAAGTTGATCAAGTTTAATGTTACATGTATATTTTTTTGAACGTAATATTAATGCTGTTGTATCAAGACGCCCATCAAAATATTCTTCATTTTCAATAAATAATGATGAATGTAATAAGCCAGTTTCAGGATATGATTTAGGTAAAGTTAAATTAAAATTTATTAGATTAGCAAGTATTAAAAGTAATTTTAATTGAGATTCGGTTGTATTTGCATACAAATGCATGAAAGTCTTTTCATTTGAAAATCTGTTTGGTTTTAGACGAATATGTAATTTTCGTCGTGGATGATGATCGATTGTTAAACTTAGATTTGTTTTTGAAGGTTCATGAATTAATTTTATAGAAAAATATTGTTGAGTCAGAATACGTTGATCAATGCTTAATTCAAGAATAATAGGTTTTGGTGAATTGTCTAATGAAGAATAAATAGTACGCATCGTAGTCACTATCATCATGTCTTTTAAATGTCCATTAATATCACTATAAACAGGTATTGACATTTCATCATTTGGATCTTGAATATTTATTTGACCTTGAAGAGTCTTATTATTCAAATCAATTCTTAAATTCCATTTAATATAAATTTTATCTCGTTTCTTGTTACCATAGATTAATTTCCAACGTTCATTCATAATTATTATTTGTTTTTTATAAATATCTTCAATAGTAAATGCTAGATTTCCAGATAAAATTAATTCTTTTTGTTTCGTTTGATAACCAATTCGAAATGATCGACCACGAACAAAATTAAATGATGACATTTGTAATGGTAAAAGTTCTAAAAAAATTTTTATATAACGATTTTCATCATTAGTTGGATAATAAAGAAGATTTATATCATAAATAGGTGTTTGTATATTATAATCTTTTGTATTAAATCTTCCTAATTTATAATAATTAATTGTTAAATTTTGTTTTGTTTTGTGATTATATAAATGTATATATTTTGTTGTATCTGTGGTAAGATTTGAAATAATAATACCAAAATTATTTGTATGAAGTTGAATTGTATTTTCATCAATGAAAAATTCAGTTTTTTTATTATCAACTGAATGTTGAAAAGAAAAATCATGTAAACTACCATTGAAAATAAATTCTTGATTATGATTATATAAAAAAAATCTTTTATTATGTATTTCAAGTATCCAACTTTGATTAATTTGATTGTCTAATTGAAAATTAATATTAAACATTGTTTTATTAATTGGCTTTGATGAAAAATATATATTCATATTTGAAGAATTATGAAAAAATTTGAAAGCTATTATAGATTGTAAACCTGAATATTGAAAAGCAAAATGAAGACGAGATTTTAAAAGAAATTCAAAAGCTATTTGAGGATCTGATGTTGAAATTAATTGCACATATCGTCCTGTAGAGATATAAAATGAAGAATTAAAATTTAATTTTGATGATAACCACCAATCATTATTAGAAACTGATAATGAACCATTAAATCGATCACGTTGAAAATATCCATGAAGTTTCCAATGGAAATTTTCATCAAAAGGATCACCAATAAGTTCATAATGATTATTTAGTACTTGAAGATGTATTAAAAATGTGCGATTAGAATGAAATTTCATTTTGAATATATAACGATCATCGGCATCTTCGGCTATTGGTTCTCGACGAATAACTAATTGACGTTTTTTATTATTATATATTGAAGAATATTTAAAAGTTGATGTATGAAGATGAAATATGTATTTTGTACGAATATCTATTTCAAATTTTGTTATAGGTATTATACGTCTTCCATGACCTGTATAATTCCAAGATAAATAGGAAAATGTTGACCATTCAAACATCATTGTTGATAGATCATCATTTAATGTATAATAATGAATAACAAATAATCGTGGACGAATTTGAATTATTAAATAAGGATTACACTAAAATATGAGCTTAGATTTATTAAGTTTTACAAATAAAGAAACAGCCGAAAACATTTGTTGATCGTCGCATTTGGATAGAGTAATTCAAATATAGTAAGACTAAAAAATATAGTTTTATTTGACTTGGAAGGAATTTTTAATGTGCTACAGATAGAATCATATTATTACTGAGAATCTTTCCACACTCAAAACAAATATTTTTAGAAAAAAGAATGCTCGATCTATCTTTAGAATAGTTATAACATAAACAACCATTATGGTCGAATACTCGCAAAATATCAGAAGAAATGAATTATAGAAATAAATCTTTCCCTGGGATAGATAAGCATTTTATTGTGTTTCTTTTAATTATCCCTGACTAAACTACATAAATGCTAACTTACATTGCACACTAGGATTCTTCAAAAATATTTGAAACATTAGTTTTCTCGATCTTATCCCAATTTCGTGCGCATATCTGGCACGATACTTGTTCTTTGTAAAAGATGCACACTGGCAAAAATAGGATCGATATAAGAGGTGATACAGATCAAATGGTTGTGTTAGCATTTTGTTCATATCTCTTTCAGTTTTCATAGTTTTGGACTGAACTTTTTTTCAAAAGATTCGGTGCTCTCATTTCTCTAAAAAAATCACTTTCGCATAGATATCACACAAGTAAAGATATATCATTTGTTTAATTAAAAGAGTGAACATAATAATCAATGCCTCTCAAAACATTTTTATATAGATTGATTTCCGTTTCTTCCTATCAATAAAGTACTGTTCAAAAGCTTCAAAACTTTGATTTGTTTTTTTGCTGTAATAATATACCCTCTATCTGCTAGAACATCATAAAGTACACGAAAAACAATATTTTTCCTAAACATATTGACAGAAGACAGACTTTGAGGGCGATTGTTCCGTATCTGAAATATTTGAACTTGCTTTGTGAAGTATGCCGCAAAGTATTGCTGTAAAACTTTTTGGACATGCCAATAACATAGAGCTTTTGAAACTCTACAAAATCAGTAATTTAATTTTTCGAAATTCTCTGATATTACTCGATATAAGAACTCATTAATACAAGATAACAGTATTTTGTTCTTGAAATTTTTTAATATTTCATGTATTCGCAGTATTATCTAAACAAATAGTTTATTTTTACCTGTGCAATACCCATGCACATATAGTTTTCTAGAACAATGAACGTCGAATCTTCTGAATAACATTCAGTTGAATACTATGAAAACTGAAAGACATATTAATACAATGCTGATATGATAAGCTATTCTCTAGCATCCGTTATCTAAAAAATAACCATATACCTCTATGATTTGAGTATCATTTGTAAAATTATTTGTAGTGTGTTCAATTAAAACACCTATTTTTTGATGATGTATATCAATAATTGATTTAATAAACGTTGATGTAATTAACGTCATCGATTTCATTTGTTCTGTATCCAATTGAAGAATATTAGCTGTTGTATTCCAATATCCATTTATTGAATGTTTATGTTTATTTTTAATAAGTTGGCCTTGAATAGAATAATTTGAATGATAATAATTGAAATCAAGATCATAATGTGAATTAATAAGTTGAAGATCGAATAATAAATTGGAACGAAGTGTTGTATAATGATATTTATGGTTAAAACGAATTAATTGTCGATTATTACTTAATTTTAAATAAAAATCAATAGCCCATTTGCCATACCATAAATAATCATTTGTTAGATTTAAATTAAATTCAATAGGATCAAATGAAAAAAGTCTTAAACCAGAATCAAATGTCCAAACCCGAAATGACGCTAAATTCCAATTATATTCATAATCAATAAAACGTCTTCGCCGTAATAATTTCGTTTGTATTAAACCATGAAAATGAAATAATTCTTTTTTTATATATCTATCCCATGTTAAAGAAAAAAATTCTCTTTTAAATAATGGTATGTGACATAATATTTTAAAACTATGATTTTTTAATGATACATCCAAAATAAAATTATTTATAAATGATGAAAATATTTTTGTAAATAAAATTTCAATTCTTATTAATGTTTGATTATCTGTATAATAATTTATAGGTAATATTTGACTTGTATTTGTATCTATATGAATTCGTTTTAATAATAATAATGAATCGATTGGTGATGAAATAAATTCATAACGAATTTTTTTATTTACAGTTAATGATATAATCCAATTACGATCTATTTCAAAAAATAATGAAAAACGTCTACCAATCAAATTTTGTTCAAGATGAATATGAATTTTTGTTGATAACTCATTAATAATTGATAATTGAAAACCAAATTTTGTTGATATCTCATAATTCGTTGATGTTTGTATTAAATTAGCCCAATTAAACACTTGTATAAATAATTGTGAATCTTTTTTATAATGTAATAAAAATGGTTTAGAAAAAAATAATGATGGTACGGTAATAGATCCATTCCATAAATCTAGAATTCTAGAATTTTGAACATATTGAATAAAAGAATGCAATGAAAATAATTGATAATGAATCATTTTCATCATTATTAATGATGTTTTAATATCTGATTGATATAATGAATTATTATAAAATGTAAAATTTTGAATTGAATTAAATGAATATTCATTTCGAAAATTTGATGTCAAATTTAAAACGAGATTCGTATCGAATGATAAAAATTCGAAGTGAATATGAGATTGTTTTTTAGTCTTTCCAATTATTGTTTCAATTATTGGAAAATCTATGAAAAAATTTGTATAATTAGCAAATAATTTGCCTTCACTTTCATAATAGTAACCAGGTATTTCTACTAAAGCATGAATAATATTTGATTGATTTATATGTATATATGATCGTAGACGTTTTTGATTTAAATAATCTATTTCAAAATGAATTGTTCGATTATCAATATGTGAATTAAATGAAAATCGACTAAATTGAATTTGAATTTGTTTATAATTTGTTATAAGAAAACTAATGTTCCAAAGAGACCATCCATTAATTAATGATGAAGATCGAAATCCAAGATTTGCAGGATTTTCGTATTCGACCTACATATTTATATTTTATATTGAAACAATATTTGAAATTTAGTTTTGTAATCGGATCTTACATGTCTATGACAGTTCAGTTAATCAGATTTTTACTAATTTGAAATGGAAATCTAGATAACTTTAGTCAAAACTTATTACACAATGCATGAGCACATGACAAATTTTTAAAAAATCTACGTAGAAGACGATTTAAAAACTAATGGTAACTTTTCTTTCGTATTCAATCCTTATCAATTACAAGCAGTTAAAAAGCTAACACATGTTACTACTTCGGTGTTTGTATAAAAGTAAACGATTATTTTATAATTGAGTTTTCATCAAATAGAGTTAAACTTTAACATATGAAAATATTGTTTTTGATTGCTATAGAAAAAAATAGTGCAATCTCTCTATTATTGTGTGAAAAGTATAGATCAATTTTGAACTTTACGTTTATAAATATTCTAAAACTATTAAATCTATCTAGAGACAAAAACTGAAAATAAATCTTAGAAGTTAATGTTTGCTTGTTTCTTGTCAATATTTAAAATGACTTTGAACAATCTAATATTTATTTTTCGTGNACTGTCACAGGCATCCAATGACGAGATACATCAAGTAATAAACCTCGCCATTTAAATCGAGGTCTATCAATTATATTTACTAATGGAATATAAAATGTATCGGATGATGTATTTCGTTCAATCAATTGAATAAATGTTGATAAACCTCTAATAATACCTGTTAATGATAATGCATATAAATATGAACCTGTTTTTGTTACATTAAGTGTATAAGATTCACCTTCACCAAGTTTTGGATATTTATTTTTTTTTGAAATAATTGATGAACAATCAATAATAAGTTTATTATTTGAAGGAGAAAAATTTTGGCCAGTCTCTATTGATGTTCCTGTTAATGATGATATATATTTTGAATAACGACCAATAGCTAATCGAAGATCCTTCGTAGGTTTTTGATTTGATATAATATGAAAATTATTTGATAATAATAATATTGAATTTTCTATACTAACAAACATTGGCATAGGTATAGTTTTGATATTTGTTGGTGTAGGATTATTTTCATAAAAAGAATAATAATCATTATTTTCGAAATAGTCAGTTTTATTAACAATACGAAAATGATGATGCGAATTTTGTAATAAGAAATATACAACAAGCACAAAATTAACAATAAGTGATAGAATTAATATTTTAAAAATGAATACTGGCCGAAACATACTATAATGAAATAAGAAGAAAAAGGAAAAAGAAAATGTGGTGAAACTTCTTGTATTTTTATTATTTAATTGAAAAGAAGAAAAAGAAACAGAACGTATTGAGATGTTTTTTTTAGAATAGTAATAAATTACCTCGAAAGTAACAATATAAAAGCGATTAATCATGGATTTTTTCGAGTATACAATTCTAGACAATATTCAATATGTCTAAATATGAATAAAAACATTTTGATCGATAAATACACTTTTTTCAAAAGTATCTTTTCATATTAATTTAAAAAATCATAAAGAATAAAAAGAATATCGAGAAATATATCTTCTATGTTTATAAGCTTCTTTACAGAATTTATGTCTACGTACAAATAGATTTTAATATTTGTATTAATATAAATCGATTGCAAAATAATGAAATGATTTCATAGTCGATCGTCAGCTGTTGAATATAGTAACTTCTACATATAAAGAAATATCATAGTATAAAAAGAATATCAAAAACAAATTTCAGTACAATAATAATAATTTTCTTTCTCAAGATATTAATTTTATTAATCATAAGTATAAACTATGATTAATAATCATACTGCATCGTAACTAAGTTGAAAATACGAATATTTTTTTTGTTGCAAAATTCTTACAATATATAAAATAGTTCTAAATTATCGGAGTTATAAAATATACTTTATCTGTTAACTTACACTTCAAAAGATTTATTGAGTATAAGTCATGATCTCTACTAACATTTTATATTGATTTATAAATTTCTTAACAAAAAAAACTACAGATAATATCTTATTAAATAATTAATTCTAACTAGAAATAAAAACCTTGTCGTTCATTTTGTTATTATTTAAAAAACACAAAAAGAAAAACAAATAAATTACGAATTCTTGAGTATTACAAAAAATTGTTCTATTCTTGTTGTTGGTAATGAAGAATTTTTTTGTTAAGGTAGGCATTTTTTTTAATAGTTTTTTAATATTATTTGTTCTACTTCATGTAGCCATGTGCGCTTTATGACATACTTACATCTGTAAAAAAAAGAAAAGAAATGGTACACTCGAATACTTGTATTACCCATATTTTGGTACTTTGATAAACGTATACTTTTGTTAATAATCATGTAAGAAGAAGAAAATAAATAAAGATTTGACATCTGGCTCTCATCACTAGTAGAAACCTTTGTTAAGCAGACATTCTTCGCGTTAAATATTTTTCTTTTCTTTCGTTCTGTTTTTTTTGTTTCATATTACTTTCATCACTCACTAAACAATTAAAAGGCTTGTTGCGAAAAAAAAAAAAGAAAGAACATGATAAAGAAATAGTAAAAAAAAAGGTGATATACGCCAGTTGATATTTAACATTTTATTTTACTTTTACTTTTCAAGTTACTATTGAAAGCATTTTTTTCTTCTTTTTTTGCCGCTGCAATTTTTTCTCAATAAAATTTAAAGAAAAAAAAAATAGAAATTAATGAGCAAAAGAGAATGCATGAAGACAATCTCCGACAGGCATTATTTTGATCGGATTTCAAACGAAGTGAATAATCATAGTGAACAGCGGTTACGTAAAACAAGAAATGTATATTTCTGCCAGTCATCTTATATTACAACATTATAAAGAAAACACGAAGAAACATTTTACAATTTTCCATTGTTATTGTAATTTTTAAAGCATAATCATTGTTTGAATGGTATGTAACAAGCTAACGACATATTCAAATTATAGTTCTAGTTGATCGACTAAGACAATTTCATAATATAGAATCTATAGATTTATGTGATTGTTACAAAGATTTAGGTCAATGTGAATTGAAAAGATATGCATCATGGCAAATAAAAAGAAAGTTAATTGAAGTTTATTTTAAGTTGTTATGCTACTTTTTGTTAGTAATTGCTTTCTTGAATCATTAGCTAGAAAAATAAATAAATCGATTATAACATGATACTGTTGCAGACAACATGTGCTTGTTGTTTATCGAATAAAAATTCGAGTAAGATTTATTATTAGTATCATATATCATATCATGATTTGATAGAATCACAATGATGCATGCAAAGATTATTGCGTTATTTATTGGTTCCCTGTCACATGCTGACTTACAAATGTCCAATGAATTTTGTAAGCCTGGATTAAACTTAATGAACGAAACATCTTTGTGAACAAATGAAAGTCATAAAATTAAAAAACATCTAGATACATACATTTTTCATTAATAAATATTAAGACATGAAAGTATTATGATTTAAGCATTGATATCATAATTATATACATCGCAACGCACTGATAAACTACGTATACGACGTTCTTTTTTGAACAACAACAGTTTTGTTGAGATCCATGTTTATTAATTCCAATAGTGAAATTATATAGAAAACCAAGGGATATGATATAGTGTTCGATTTGATATCTTAAGTAAAAAAAAAGCACATTGGCTAGATGTCGTTATTTTTTGAAGAAAATCGACACGCAACTGTAAACATTCGGAACATTTCATAATACTGATAAAAACTTATGTATATGAGTGATTCTACTGTATGTTGTACCGTTGAACTTTCAAAAATGGTTCTCTTTGTTTCTCAGTTCCTATTTAGTCAAATTGATCGAAATTTATAGCAAAGTATCTATTAGTCATGCTCTATTTCTACTGCTAAAATCAGCTCGCTATCTATTATTGTTTACGCATAGTGTTCGAAAGAAATCCATTTTCCCCTGTTTTTCACGCTTTTTTATGATGATTCCTCGTACGCTTCTTTTCTTTCCTAATTTTTTTTTCACCCAGATAGGAAAGAAGTAAGCAATATTTCGTTAGGTTTCTTATATGATCTGAAATGCTCTATCTGTTCACAATCTTATTTTTATTTCAGCTGCTTTCGTTTCCTATAAAATTGAACATCTCTTAGTGGTTCCAGAGAACGTCTAAAAAAGTGTCCCACCCCCTTTTGAACTTATAGTAAAGACAATAACCATTTTAAATCCCATTCTTTCGCATTAAAAATGTTTATCAACCTGGGCACTATTGATTACTGAAAACCATAAATCACTAGGTTTTCTCGTTTTTGAATAATTTACATGTCAGTGGCATCCATTAGCGTATGATCGATAATTTGTCCCACCCCCTTTTGCCCCTCTCCTGACCAAAATAAAGTGAGTTAAGAGCTGACTTTTTTACCACAAATGTCGATTGTCAGGCACAGTTTATTTTGAAAATATCAAGATTCTAACTCGTATCTGAAGGAAGTTATTAAAAAAATACAGTCAAATGTCCCACCCCCCTGTTTTGTCCCACCCCCTTTTGCCTGTGTTTTGACCAAACTGCAAAGAGTTAAGAGCTGATTTTTTTACCACAAGTGTTAATTGGTGGGCACAACTTATGTTGTAAATATCAAGACTAGCTGATTCCTAAAGAAATTAATTTGAAAAACACAGTGAGAGGTCCTATTCTCTAGTTTGTACCGCTTTCCTACCCGACTGAAAAATCTGAAAAAATTTTCTCCGAAATTCATCATTTTTGTGCTTCTTCTGGATACGCCACTAGAAAGGAAATGTTTTGAAACCTATAAGATCATGTTAATTTCAGGATGTCATCTATTTTTACGTGAAAATTGTAAAAAATCCCTTCATGAGTTTTTGGAAATCTTTTGATCTCTAAATTCGACGAAAAAAAAATGGTAGTTTGTACAACTACTTTGTCTTATACTTCGAAGTATCCTCTATCAACTGATAATACTTTTAAGTGCGCCCGTTTACTTTTTCTTTCTATCATTTTTTCAAAACAAACGGTACAATAGACAGTAGAATCACTCATATGATAGTTTTATTATACATGCTGTCCTGGAAATTATCATATGTTATTGTTTTACTAATTAAATTAAGTAGAGTGTTTTAAAAATAGTGAAAAAAAAATTCTACTAATAACATTAGAGAAAAAGAATTGCATTCTAAATGCTGACTAAATAATTTAACACAAGCAATTATTTTCATAAGTTTTCATATGGTTATTAAAATAGAAAGAATTTCAAAAACATTTCAATTAGTTTTTTCATAAGATTTTAATAATATATGTTTTTGTTGTATTGACTTGTTATCTTCTGATAAAAGAGTATTCAATAAAGTATATTTAACATTTTTTTTTTTTATTAAACATAAAAATAATTATAAATATTTCGACAATATTATCAACGCAGTAGAATGCATAGATTTACGATCTTAAACAATTTTTTTTAATATTCACTTTATATCTATTGAAGTTGATTGATTTTTAATAATTTTAGGTGTTTTTAGATGAAAACTTGCTTTTGAAATATTTCAAATGATGTTACATGATTTTACTATACACATAAATATTTCTTTCCGATATAATCATAATTTACCAAATAATCTATATAATTCAATAGAGTTTATATTGAAGATAGCTAGGCAATACTACAGCATATTGGATCCAAAGAGTTTTGAATTCGGATTCAGGTCCAGATCGGATCTAATGAACTCTAGACAATACTTCAAGTTATGTCTTATATAAAAATATTATATCAAGTATATATAATATTATATATTAGTTTCAAGAGTATTGCCGTTAATTTTACACTCTTATGGAATATATGTACATCTATAATTAGATGCTTATCGTCTATGAGAACAACAAGTATTTAATTCAAATTAACTGTAGATTAAAAGATAATGTATGCTTTTTACTGTCTGATATTACTGATGAATGATCCAGCAATAAAAATGTTCTCTTGTCAGAAAAAAAAAGAATTGATCTCTAATTCAATACTATATACACAAATATTGAATGTATAACTTATTAAATTTCATTTATTAGATTTGCATTAAATACTTACAGTGTCTTCTACTTCATAAAAATACTTATCAAAATTTCTCTTAAATATAATAACATAATAAATATTCGAGATTTTTATAGAAAACGGATAATAAACTAAATTGATTTACAAGTAATGCTATGTTTATTGAGTTTCATTAGTTGTCCTTTTCGTAATTACATATCGAAGAGTTGGAAGCCTTTTTTTGTCTGTGCTTCAATGATGTCACACTTATGTATGTTTATAAATTATTATTTGAAAAATGTTGTGTTTTTTCTTGCATTAACAGGAATTAAAATCTATATGAAAAGTATCGTTTAAAAGTATTTCTTTAGAAAAAAAAAACACTTCCTTCTTTATGACTATAATATATTTACAACAGTAAAATTTTCATTTTTGAATTTCAAATAGGAAGCTAAAGATAAAACTACATAGATAAAAATTACATAAAACTTATTTCTTTTTTATGTGAAATTCAAGCACAAAAGAAAAAGGAAAAGATAAATAATGATCATGATCATGATAATGTTCCGGTATATTGCATTTCGTATTGTTAGTTTTTCATGTAAATAATGAATATCCGGTAGTTCGAGAAAAAAAAGAAGGATATTCACTCGAGTTCTTCTTCATTTAATGATCTTCGTTGTTGTCGATTTTTTGATGATGAACTATCATTACTTGTAGTCATTGAACGCTGTATTAACCATTGACGATTATATCTATTGGTAACTGGTGTATCATGCCAACACCAACAATGTCGACTACATAAATTTACCCATAGTAATAGAAGAAAAATGCCTACCATAAAAACAACACCTGCTATATAGATGGCATTAACCATAATTCGAGTACGAACTGGTGGTGCTATTGATGACGAAAGTGAATTGTTTGTTAATGATGACGATATAACAATGTCAGAAATTAACTTAGTACTATTTTCTAACATTTGATATTGATGCTATGCGTTTATATTTTTATATATTTATATAAGCTGTATTGGAGTAATTGTAATCAATATTTAGTAGGAAGTTTAATCGACTATCTGGCGATAATCGTATCATAGTTTCGGCGACAACAGTTAAGAAAGAAAAAGCTATTAATAAATATTATGCTTATAAATATTTGTATATATAAATATATATATGTATATAATATACCAATGTTTTTCAGTCGATCTTTGATGATAAATAGGAAAACGAGATGTAGATAATGATGTCTATTTAAGGTTTTCTTCAGACGTTCTTGTTCTCAGTGTCTGCAGTCTGGTGGAATCACCCGTTATTATATGCTACTTCTATTTCTTTCTACCATATGTAAAAGAAAAAGAGAAATAAATAAGTATATATATATATATATATAAATGTAAGTAACAAGAAAGTGAAAGAAAAAGGAAAGGACCCTTCGTAGTACTGACAACAGTTTCCGACTACTCTTTTGCTTCGTTTCTTCACTTCAGCCAATGGGTCATGAACAAAAAAAAAATGAGACTCAAAAGATATATAAGAGCATTTACAGATTTTCATGACACACGATCAATTTGTATAGAAAAGAAGTACGAAATCATTCTATAGAGATTTCTAACAAATGATTATAATCAATACTCTAAGATACTTGAAAATGTAACACAGTCAGACGTAATTAATATAAGTATTAATTTTCTGTTTTTTCACTATGTTGTCAATTTGATGATGACGTGTTTCTGAATGGTAAATTACCAATGGGACTATCGTCATTCGCTTCGTGACTATATTATTATTATTTTTTTGTTATTTGTAATCAACTAGATATCCATGTGCATGATAGCAACCTCTTTTTTTTTGTTTCTTTAATACAAAACAAAAGAGAAATTCCATCAAACGGTTGATTGATCTAAAAATCTATTATTTTATAGATAGAAAAAGAATGTGCGACTTTTCAATTTATCATTGCCACTAGAGTAATCAAATATTCATTAAAGAATAAATGAATTTAGAATTTTTCTTTATCTTCAATTTAGCAAAAATCTAAACTAAAATTAAATCTTTTATATGTTATTCTTTGCGATCGACGATAACAATTGAGTTTTCAACATAGCAATTACTATTCAATCTTGAATGCACTTCATCGGCTATAAATTATGGTTATCATTATAACAACAACAACAACAAGAATTTGTTAAATAAAATTGTATTCTATACCGGTCGAATTTACATGTTTGACAAAGAATGAATTGACCATAATATGTTAGAAGAATTATATAAACAAAAAACAATATTATTTTTCTGTCATAATAATAACCTCTATAGCCTAAGATTCATCAAGAAATATCTGATTACTTGCATATATTCTTTTTTTTCAATTATTTATGAAGAAAAAGAAAATATTTCATCGATTAATTTTTTGTCGATTCTAAACAGTAATTATTAAGCGTTACTTTTTTACTTTTTCTCTTTACATATTTGCTTATTTTACCTTGATAAATCATTCAGGTATGACTATAGAGCAACATAGAACACTATTCTCCAAGATGGCTGTCATAAAAAAGAGTAAAATTGCACGCATCAATCAATATTATACGTATATTTGTTTGGTAACATGACTATGCTTGTTTTTTTTCCCTGTATTTTTACTAGGCATATAGTCTTTCCTATCTATTGAAAAAGGGTAATGTTTGTTGTGATTTTAGCATAACAAAAAACAAAAGAATAAGATGTATAGAGATGCAGGCTATGGTGACAACTGGCAGCCAACACCAAATAATAATGCAAGGTGATGATTCAATTAAAAAAAAATTTTTTTCATTTTGTCTTAACGTTGTTTTTCTGTCGAATTTTAGACGTATTGATCCTTACAGTCGATCATGTGCTCTTCTAGGTTGTTTTTTTGCTGTTGGTTTTATACTTATTATTATTGTCGTTCTCTCACTAATTCCAGTTTATATTTCTCGTAATTCATCTGTGAAGAAGAGTTATGTACAAGTACCAAGTAAATATTTGAATCGTTTATTAGAATTCGATATCAGAACATTTTTATGCTAACTTTAGAAGTCTACGTAAATGGTTATACATTACGATTTCTTTCTCCATCGAATAGTTTTAATATAGAAGCAATTCTTTCCCGATCGAATAATCTTGAAGCATTACAAGCTTCGCTTACATCAATGATTCAAAGTGATCCTACACTATCTGGTTCGATTATAGAAATTACGAAATCTTCGTTATCTTCGAAACGAAAACGTCGACAGTTATCGAATTCATATGAAATTGTTGTTGATTTAAATATAACGAGTGGTAAACCTTGTACATCATTAGCATGTTTAAATCAATTTCAAACACATTCTACGAACCAATTATGTGATGAAAATCGAACAACGCCTACAGTTCGTTTTGAACAACTAAATACAAATAACGATGGATTACGATCTTCATCGTCGCCAGATATTTATTGGTTAAATCTTCGATTACCGCATATGATAAAATCCAGTAAAGTTGGATTTATCAATAAATAAAAATAAATTCTTTTATTTTAGATGTTGGATTTGTAAATGTTGATCTCAAAATCGTATCATCATCATTGGAAAAATTAATAACTTTAGATAAAAATTTAAATCACCCGTCAAATACTGACATAATAACATCAACCACTGATATAATAACATCAACCACTGATAGATTAACATCAACTGCTGATATGTTAACATCAACTACTGATACAATAACATCAACATCACATCTTACGGGTTAAATAATTTTTTTCCAATATCTGTTCTTATTATTTCTTTTAAAACATTTAATAGTCAGATAAGTTTACAAAATTAATTGTATTTCATAGATAAACAAAAAAAACGAAGAACTGTTCAAATTATACACATAAAAAAAAAGCTCGAACAAAGAAAAAAAGCAAATCCGTGTTGTATATTGAAAATTATGCATTGATTTACTGTGACTTGAATATGAAATAATTTTTAAAATGAATATATATGTATTATTAAAAAATATTCATGGTAATTGGTGATTGTAGTCAAGTGATCGTAATATATCTCGTTTATTATGCTGTTTACTAACAAGTTGAGATTGTAAATGAAGAATATAATTTGAAATACATTGAATAAATTCAAGCTCAGTTTCACATTGATTAACGCCTGGTACTAAATTTCGAAGTTGCTCAAAAATATTAGTTGCATGTTCGTCGTTCATCATGAAAAAAAAATATATATATACACGTACGATGGTTGTCACATAATCATTAAACTATGTCGAATGCACGCTGAGATGGTGAGGAGTTAGTATGTAAGACACGCAAAAAAGCCCGAGAACAAGACGAGAAAAAAAAAGAAAAGAGAAAAAAAACGGATGACGACAAGCAAGAAAAAAAAATCTCGGCTCTGTCGCTCAACTTGAACACAGGACGAGCATTCACTTGGATGAATGATAGTAGTAGTAATAATAGATGGAAACGAGCAGAATCACTCTCCGAAAAGCATAAAATATTGATGCAAACTTTTTTTTTGTCCTTTTTCTCTATAGGCAGACAGTTTTTTTTGTCACCAATCTATATATATGAACAGTGTAATGATGTACAAGAAAGAAAAAAACCGCAAAAAAAAGACGAAAAAAAAACAAAAGTCTGATTGCTTTTTTTCCTCGTTCTACTATTGTGTGTTAAATAATTTATGGTTCGGAATTGTCAATTTCATTGTCATTTTCTTCAAAATCATTGCTACCATATGTATTCAATTCTGGACGATTGTGTAGCTCAGGTGATGGACTTCGTCGTTCATGATCACTAACTACTTCTTCTTCTTCTTCTTCGATATGCTGTTCTTCAATATCATATGATAAACTTTTTTGATTTGTTGTTTTAACTGGTTGTGAATCTACAAGCCAATCAACATCATGTAAATCATTCATAGGTTTTTGAAATGTTTCATTGAAATTCATTGGAATAGTTGATTCCGATTCAGTTGTTTGTGTATTTGGAAGATCATGTAATTGATGATGATCATTAGTATTTGTTTGAAGTGATAAACGTGGTTTTGGTTTAATATTTGTTGATGAAGGAGAAAATAAATAATCATCATTTAATGGATTTTGTTTATAATTATTATTTAAAGTATTTATTTGTGATTTTTCTGTAATACGTTGTGCTATTATTGGTTGTTTATCAATATTATTTTCTGATTCCCAAGGTAATAAAGCATTAATATCATAAGATGAACGTCGTTTATCATCATATGGAGTTTTTGGAGTTAATATTAATGAATCTTCTCGTGTTGTAATAGGTGTTTGCGATGGAAGTGGTTCATTGTCATAATTAGTAGCTTTATTAACTGAAGAATATGTATCGATTTCTATAAATATATTAAACAAAAATATAAAATTCTTATTTCTATAAAATAATTATTTTACTTCGAGATGTTTGAACACCAAGATCATCTTTTAATGCTTCTAAAAGATCACGTAAACGATTCTAAATTTCAAAAAATTATAATATATGTTAAGAAAAAAAAAATAAAGAGATAATTTTTCTTTTTACTTCATTAAGTTTTCCTCGATTACGATCAATATGTATTTCAAATAATTTTTCAATAGCAGATTCTGTAGTTAAATTATTTCGTATAATTGCATCAGTTATTTCTTGCATAAATCGTACATATTGTAAACGTTCATGTCTAAAAATTAAATTAAAGAAATGAAAAAAAAGATTTTTTTTTTTGTTTTGAATAAACATACTCGGTCAAACCAAATCCTTTCAATACTGCATCAGATTGTTTTCTATAAAGAAAGAAATTGAATACAAAATGAGAATTGAAATTTTATTTATATAAAAGATTAAGTTTTATAAAATCTTAATTCAGCCAAATAATGATGAATAATTTTCGTATTAGATATTATACAAATCGTTATATGAATATATTTACAGTAAACTTGCTTTTAAATAAACACTATCGAATGGGATTCGATATATATATGCATTTGCATGTCATTGTATAGGTAACAGAGTCAACTATACTTCTATGTACATATTATATTTTGTATTGATTGGAAAATTGATCGACTTTGGTGATATTGAGAGAACAAAAACAATAATGTCAAGAATAAAAAAATTATCCTAATTAATCATCTAGTTTTAGAGTGTAGATATACTTAGACTGGTCGTTTTCGAAAGCCGACCAACTTCACAAATGGTCACCCACTCTGTCACCAATAATCGATGAAAACATAGCTCTGAATCGTGCAGCAATCTTTCCCAATACTCTTCTCCTCTGACTATTCGAATTCTGTATGCACACAGTACAGCTTCGTTATTATGATATACAACAATACTACATGCGATGAGTATGTGTCTGACATTATGTTGTATGACTAGTTGAAGCAATCGCTCAAGAACTTCGATTAAGATTGCAAAAAGACTCGTTTAGATATACCTTCACTGTAAAATTGAAAATAGTTAAATAGAATATTTTTTATTATTTGCATTACTGTTCTTGTTCTCTCAATATCACTAAAGTCAGTCAATTTTGAAATGAATACAAAATAGTACTAAATACAAGAGGAACAGAAAAAGAAACAATTGAATAAATAACTCATCTTTTGTTTTTGTTCGCGGAAGAGTCGTCAGAGAAAATGTGTAGCGTGCACTAGTCACTGGATATAAAAACAGAAAAAAAAGTAACTCGTATGTGCGGAGCGTCTATTCAATTCCGGTTAAAAAAATTCATTGAGAGTATCAAAATACAGTTCAGCCGGGTCCGGGTCTGAAAATTTTAGACTTAACAGGCTCCATCTATAGAACACGTGGCATATTTTACTACGACATGAAACAAACTTTCAGAATATAAGTTTGTTTACTAGTCTTGAAATAATTCTAGATCATTGTTTATGTTGTTTTGTTTTCTTCATTTGAATATTTATGAACCTAAAAAAATTTTTAACAGAATACAAAATTTTGCTTTGTTTCACAAAGTTTTGTATTGTTGTTTCGATCTGGAGATATATATGAGTTTGATAAACGTTATCGTACAATGTATTCAAATGTATACAGTCATCAACTTATATGATGTTAAAATTTTTCAATCTTCGTTTGATACTTTGACTTTGAATTGTTTGATAATCATTTAAAATATTCCTTTTTCTTTTTACGTATAAAAATATTGAAAACAGAACCACGTGAAACATTCAATTTTTCAGTTAATTCATGGTATGATTTACCATTATCACCGTTCTTATCATTAATTAATTGAATTTTTTTCATATAATGAAAGACGATATTACGATGTCGACGCTTTCTCTGTGATATATATAGTTATAAAAAAAAAGTGAAGAGCAATTTTACTGCATTACTGAGAAATGATGAAGGTGAGAGGAACAAAAAAAAAACATATGTATGTGTTCATTTAAAAGAAAGGTTAAAATAGCATTTCAGGACTGTAAAAATAATATTTAAGTTGAGAGTAGAGAGATGTTCAATGAAATCAAAAACATTTTGATAATCTTTTACCTTATTGCTGGATTTGTCATTGCTGTTGCTTTAGCTTTTTTGATTTTTTTTTCTACATTTTGTCGAAGTTCAAGACTTTTATTTAATTGTTCTCTATAATAAATAACAAGAAAAATTCTTTATAAAAAAATAAAAATATTCAATAAATTCTTTTTCAGAAAATTTATTATTATACGAATATGACTAATATAATCATGCAGGTTTTTCTATATTTTAGAAGGTTTATTTCTACTTATAAACTTACCTAACACGTCGAATACTGTTTAGATAGAATAAATATGAATCTCAAAATATGAAATACTTATTTTTCTTTTTTCTTTTTTCTTAACTAACCTAAGTGCTAATTGTTCATCTTCTTTTTGTTTATTTTCATCAAAAATAATTTCTTGCGTATTTAATTGTTGCTTAGTTGTTTGAGATTTTGTTTTTCTTGGTGGATTATAATATGCACGATTATCTCGTAAAAATGATGAACCATCACGTTTAACTAAGCGTGGTTGATGTTCAATTGGGTTTGGTTGAGAAAACGAATCTGGATGCTTATCAAGAACATCAGCACTACTTTTATTGCGTGCTGTCGATGTCATTTTACCTAAAGCAGCCATAGCAGTCAATGCTTGAGATATAACACCACTAAATAGAAAATAATTATTTTTTATTTGAAAATCGACGATAAAATATTTAATATTTACTTGCCGAATAATTTATTTGCAATATCACTTTGATTAGGATTATTTTGATTAATATTTTGCATTGAACTGTTCATTGTTAAAGAACGTGTCATCATACGAGATGACTCAATACTTCGTGAACGTGCACGAGATGTTGTTGGCTAGAATAAGAAATAATTATTTGAAATATTTGAAAAAAACGTTTTCTTTTACTTGTGATTGTACAATACGACGTGAACGTGCACTTTGGCTTGCTCTTGTACGTGATGTTTCTTGTTGATTTTCATTTGAAAATTGACCAAGTATATTTTGTGTATATGCCATTTGTGCCATTTCTTTTCGAGCTCGATCTCGACATTTTTGACCTAATATCATAGCTTTCGGTGGTTTAGAATCGACTGCAGCTATAGAATTAAAAAACAAACAAAAAAAAATGTTATGAAATATCAAAAGAGAATATGTTTAAATTTATACATCGTGCGCTATGTAATCGACGATAATGATTTCTCATATGATCTGAAACGATGTTTTGTTTGACAAGATTATTTTCAGTTGTTTGAAGAACTAAATATTTAAAGAAAATTAAAAAAATTATTAAAATAATAAATGTATTAAAATCTGTTTTGTTTTTAATTATTTATATTCAAACTATTGATTATCTTACCACTACTTTTGAGTCCATATAAACCTTTTCCTGGCCAATTAAGTGTACTACTAAGTAGATCACTTGATGACATTTTCGAATCGTCTTTCGTAAATTATTTATGTGCAGAAGTAGGCAATCTACAAAAGATGATCAAAACATACGAAATTATTTCATCATTGCCTATTGATCAAATAGAAAACACTACTGTTGAATAGATGATATTTTATTATACACAACGTTTTAAAAGTCCAAAAACAAAAAAAAAGCAAGAGTGTGAATAACTTTTCAGCAATTCCAGTGATTTCAATATATTTTTTTGTTACAGTTTGATCACATGTTCATTAAAGTTTTCAGATAAAATATCTATGTCTAAGATACTGCATAGTGTCCTAATGAAAATCTCAAAAGAATTTCGATTCCTACAAATGGCTAACTAAACTATCGAAATTGTTAATATGTCTATTTTCTAGAAACCCCAGATTTTCAGAAAACTCGTATTTTCAAATTTCGATCTAAAATTTTGCATGTATAAAGAACTCAACTAGACTAGCGTCCTTTAAAAAACATGCATGTTGTATGCGGTATACACGAAAAAGAGTCTATATGTTGAAAGTCTCATATCAGAGGTTGAAATTTGAAAATATGAGTTTTCCAAAAATCTGGAAACTCTAGAAATTTGACATATTAAAAATTTGACAGCTTA